TATCCTAACAAACCATACATCAATGGAAAGCTTATCCATTCAGCTTTCAGAAGATGTATAAATCTCAATTTCAAAAAATTGACCCTTATGACTGGTTTTGTGGTCCAGGGCAGACATGTTCATAAGTCTCTGAGGTCCAAGTCCAAGTCAAGTCTCTGTTCTATTTTTAGCAATAGTTCTTTTATATAGTTAACAGTGTATGAGGCTAAATCAGTTTTGAAATATTAAAACTATAATTACTTAAACAGAATGTCTTAATTTATTCAAAAAGGTCTAATAAAACGCACAAACTTTTATTGAAATCATTCAATTTTATACAGAATGTTTTTAAACCATTTTATTTACCGGTATTTTACATTATTTCTGAATGTAGCAATAAAATGTATACACTGACTTGTATGCGATCTTATGTTTTTTTTTTTTTTTCATTAATCAGTCAAAATTCTTACTGTTGGTTAATGGGCTATTTATGGTCATCCTTAATTGTTTTTTTTACTATTTTACTTTTTATTAATTAATTTTATAGCTTTTTTTTTTGGCAAAACTCATTTTAAAATTATGGTTAGTTTCAATGGTTATATTTACCCCTATTTTAATTCATGTTTAAATGCATTTATGTTGCTTCATAATACGATTTTTTAAAATTAATTAATCAATAATTAGATTTAAAGGGGTGCTATTATGCTTTTTCACTTTTTCAACTTTAGACCCCCAAACAAAATCAAGACTTTGTAAAAGAGCATAATAGGACCCCTTTAAGACAAAATACTGCACATTTCTTTGTTCTTGTAAAAGTGTCAAAAAAACAAACCTAAATTGAAATTTTAAAACAAACCCCAAATCAAGTGAACACAAATGAAAGAAATCTCTTCATATAAACAAACTAAGGCTTTGTCTGTGCTCTTTCTATCTAAAAGAGGCAACCACTGCAATTTTCATCACAATCCAAACAAAGATGCTGCATACCTGCAGCACGAGCAGTTTTTAATCTAAATTAGATTGTATAATTACAAAATGTAAAGCAAAAACAGAATGGTCAGACTTTAGTTTTGTAAAACTATACACTACATAAAACATGTCTAAACGAAACAGAAATAGCAGACAGGCTGAATTAGAACGCAGATTCACTCTCTGCCAGCAGATGGCGCTTATGGAACAACAGTGATTCAGTGTTTCTTTGGTTACTGCTGTAAACACAGCTGCGCAGTGCTCATGAACGCTGCATTATACGTAGGCAAGATGAAAAGAAAAAATCATCTAACCTTTTCTAAAGACAGTCAGTTCCCCTCAGAGATACATTCATATAAACTCACACCCCCAATTGTATCGCGATTCATTTAACATCTCAACTGATTTGAATAGTCACAAATTTGTATCGATTTTCAACCGGCTCGGGGTGCATCGTTACATATCTACGTTTCAGATTTGGTTTCTGTGCCCCGTCTAGTGCCTTTAGACTGTGTAGTTTATTTACAGTGTGATCTTATATTAATCATGATTTAAAAATGTTTCTATATTTGGTAGGCTATATTACAGTTTCGAACCAGTGTCATGCGTGGATCGCTAATAATGCTGGCTTGGTGTGTTTTAAGATGAATTGTGACATTTGCTACTGCAGGACATATTAATAGGGAATGAATGGATTAGCAATTAATAGACGAATGTGGTGTATGATGCTGTCATGTGGGGTAGTAAAGGGGTAATGTGAAAGGAATGTCATATGATTGACTTGCGTTTTTTCGAGTCTCACAAATCACGAGTCCGAGTCAAGTCTCGAGTCAGCTGTTCACGAGTCCAAGTCAAGTTGCAAGTCTTTATTTTTGCGACTTAAGTGCGACTTGTGTCCAAGTCGCAGACTCGAGTTTCCATCTCTGGTCCAGGGTATACACATATAATTACACTCTTATTCAAACGAACCCTCATATTTGTGTAGAATTGTGTCTAATTTGGTTATGCTTTCAAAATTGAACCCCCCCCCCCCCCCA